GCTCCTCCATGGCTGCCCCCGGACCCGCCAACTTTGTTGGGAAGCGCGAGGACGGCCGGCGCTTCCCCGCCGCATATGGAGGGGCTCTGCCGCCGCCTGGCCCCGCGGGAGGGTGGGCTGTGCACACACACACCGCAGCGAGCGCGCCTGGGATTTCTCCACCCAGCGACGGCTTCCCCCCACCTCCACAATCCCGCTTCTCTCCCTGTAGGCGCCCGAGGTGCGAGCATCGCCAGCCCCGCACGCCTCTCTCCTTCGCCTGCACCACGCGGTTACCTCCTCGCTCCCAGCCGCCGCATTTCTTAGCCTACCTGCCCGGGAGCCGCAAGCGAGACGGGGCACCTGTTGCAAGGAGTGTCCCTGCGCGCCATCTCCCTCCCAGGCATCACCCGCTGTCTCCGCGACCGCGGCTCGTGGCGGGGGTGCGGGAGGAGGTGCCCCCGGCTGTCAACCCTAGGGGAGGAGGGGGTCACTTGGATGCAAGCCAAAGCAGGACAGAGGATGTAGCGCGCTGCCTTTGTTAAGTTACCCGCCCCTCGGGAAACGCAAGGGGGAGGCTAGCAGGAGCACTGTTGCATCCTGTTTTAATCAAAGCACATCGAGGCGAAAGCTGTTCGCGGGTCTTAATAGGCAGCAGCCGGGCTCCTGCGGAAGACCCTGATCCTCGCCACGGGGCTTTCCTACACCTTTCAAACGGTGCGATAGGGAAGGGAAAGATTTGATGCAAACCGCGCTTGCTACTCCCGGGACGATTTGTGCTTTGATCCAAAACGGATGAATAGGTTCTCCCCCATCTCTTTCAGGCTCAGTTCCACCAGATGGCACTTTGAGGCAGGCTCACTTCCATCCACCCCGAAGAAAGTGACTCAGAAGAGGTTAAAGGAGGAAACCACATTTTTAAGGGGAAAAAGTAACAGGAAAAGTTTCAAGGAAGATGAAAATTATCTTCCTCCTCTGGACTCCCACTGGGAGTTAGAAATGTTGATTCTCAAAGGTTTGCCTAATGGGAAGCTGCAAGAATGAAGAAGCCCCACTTTTGTGGTGGTGGTCTGCATGTGGTCATTTGCTCTAGTGTTTCCCAACCTTTTCCATCCCAAGGCACTTACATTTTCCATGGCACACCTGTTAAGGCTTGCCCCATCCCGACTTATGAGCTCATTGCTGTGGCAAAATCCCCTTCTTCCCCCAGCTGTTCAGAAGCTCCCAACTGCACAGGCCCCACAGCCAGCACATGCAGTAGATCAGAGGCTCGCAGCCCCCAAGCAGTAGCCCAGTACCAGGCCACGAAGGGCGGGCTGCTGGTGCGCAGGAGGGTTGGCTGCAGGACCGGAAGTGACTCACATACTGCAGACTGGCAGCCAACCTTTTTATATACCGAGTATAAAAAAAGGGTTGGCTGCCGCTTCTGGACTGCAGTTTGCCAGTGCATAGTCACTTTCAGTCTACGGTTTGCTACTGCACAGTCTAAAATGGTTGGGAACCATGGCAGTAGATTAATTACCTGCTCCTTAGCTGACAAGTTCTGTGGGTAAATCTGATCTCCTACTAGACCAACTCAAGTAGTTGGCAAAATTTTTCTTTGCAAGCTTTCTAGTATTAATACCCTTCCTCAGGCTGAGGAAGTGTCTGCAGTGTGTGCGCTCTTTTTCCATTTCAAGCAGAAAGCTCGCAAAGAATTTTTTCCAGCTATTTCAGTTGATCTAGTAAGAGATTGGATTTACCCAAAGAACCTTGTCTATGTTCTTGGACCAACTTGGCTACAACCTGTACCTCCTGCTTGGTTAGTTTTTTCCCCTCTCTCCCTCCCCACAGCTAACACATGTGCAAGTCTTCTGTGAGTATCTCACTAACACTTTTTCCCACTTTTTCCAGGCAGTGGCTGGAGAACTTCCTATTCATCATGCTGAAATGCTCAGAGCACACCAGGGAGCTCTTTGTGCTGCAGCACACTAGTTGAAAAGCACTGATCTAAACACAGCTCTATGAAATCACCTGCTTTTTATCATTATTCTTGATGTTTCCTTCATGCCCACATATGGTGTTGCCCCCATTATTCAGCCTGGGCAGTATGTCTTCAGACGTACACACCCAACCGCATACAGCAGCAGTTCAGCCAGAGGCGGTGGCGGCATGCTTGCAGTTGTCAAATATCACCTCTCATTCCCAGTCACAGGAAAAACTACCTTGCATAAAAAAGAATGCCACTTCGTTGTGTTTGACCCAGACAGGTCACCATCCCAAGCCCTTTTATTCGCTTTTATTTACAGATCAAGTCCCAGGAGTGCAGTACCTGCTGCATGAGCGGTAGGTGCTCACCTGTGTGCACACTGTGGACGTCAGTGGCGTTAAGGGAACGCAGCCCTTTCCCTCCCCCAGGATGCGTCCCAAGCAGGAAGGGCTGGATGCAGAGTGCACTGGAGATGCCCAGCCAGATTTTTTAGGTGGAAAATTTGGAAGGAAAAGTAGCACACACTTGTTGAGGACTTGCTACAGGGAGCTGGGGCAGCCCTATCAAAGAGCAATGGGGTAAGTGGGGAAGCCAACAAGTACCACAGACATTTTTTTGAATTCCGTTCACTACAATGTCATCAATTCATTACGACCCTACACTCGCGAACAGCCTACGAAACTTGGAAAGAAATGGATGGTCTTATACCTATAAAAAGCCGGGTAAGAAACAAATCCCAGGGATTTAACGCCGCATCCTAAGGCTCTTTGTTCCCCCCCCACTACTTACTGCTGGGAATTATTTTTCTCTAAAAAACGCGGACAAGTAGCTGATGTGCTCAGGACCAGACGCGTATCAGCCCCAGGGAGATGCCCCGAGAGAAAGACGCCCTTTGGCTGGTCAGAGCTGACGACTTTCCTTTCACACTCGCGTCTCGCGCTCCCCGTGCTCAGGAGGGGCCAGCGCAGCCCCCGGCAGCGCTCGCCAACCCCGCCTCGCGGCGCCGCAGGCACCTGCGTCCAAGCGAGTCACGTGACCCGGTCTTTCCCCCACCCACGGAAGAGCCCGGTTTCTGTCAGGTGGTGCTGCTGCGAGATCCCCCCCACCCACGCCGGGGGTGGTAAGTGGCGAGTAGACGCCGAGGTTCCAGCGCCGGGGAAGGTGCCGGCTCCGCTACTCCAGCGCTTCCGGTTGCGAGCGGGAACTCTGGGCCGTGCCGGCCGCGGGGCTTGCCGGGAATTGTGGTCTCGGGCGGCCCCGAGGCGGGTGGGCGTGGCTCACGAAGGGGGCGGGGCCTGTCGTGTCCTGTGCGCGCGTTCGCTCGCGGCTGGGGGCGGGGCTGCTTGTCTGCTCTTCTCGGGCGTCCGCGGGACGCTGGGGCCTGCGGGGTGGGCAGGAACGGAGCCCAAAATCCCTTCAGGTCCTGCTTGTGCAGGGGCGGGCACCGAAGGGCAAGCGGAGGAGCTGGTGGGGTGGGGGCTGGAGCGGCCGTTTTTGGAAGGGGGTGATCCGCTCGCAGCGCGTCTGCATACGCAGCCCGAGGATGAGCTCATTGCTCTCGGTGCGCCGGGGGCGTGGCTGGCTCTAAGGGTGTGTACACGTGCACTTTAATGTGCGTTAGTGTCCCTAAAAACCATGGACTCTTGCTGATGTGCATTAAAGTAATGTGCCTTAAAGCATCACTAAAAACCTCCTCACATAAGAAATTCCTGCCCAGTAGAGCCTTCCATCCTTCTACTCTTCTGTGACATATGTAGCACCAAAACCTAAAGGAAATATGACTACATCCTGCTTGCACCAAGCAAGTTGGAGGTAAACAGACTAGCCCAGCCTTTCTCTGAGCCTAACCTGCATAAAATGAGCTGTTCCAAACAGGAGATTTTACCACACCTTTGACTTTCCTATGAAATATGAACTTTCATTTCTACCCAGGAGAATGTTTAGTCTCTTTTCTCCTGTGCCTGGAGAAGGGTGCTTGTGCCTGAAAGCTTGTAATTAAAGAAAATTTTGCAAAAATCTAGTTAGTCTAATAAAAGATACCACCTCTACCATGAGTTCTGGTCACTAAAAACCATGCGCTTTCTCTATTGCGCATTTTCTAGAGGTGCACGCATCCATTAGTCTGATACTGGATCGGCACCAATATAAAGAAAATTGATCGTATTGGAAATTGGTCTGGTTTGGTGGATAATTTGGCCGATAAATGCCCGTGCATGTGCACAGCCGCATTACAGCATGTAGGCAGCGAGGAGCACAGCCTGGCAGCTTGGAGAGCTGTGTGGGGCTGGTAAGTCTGGTGTAGTGGAAAGAGAAGGGGGAGGGAAGGGACATGGGGTAGCAGATCAAGGTCCCTGCGGAAAGAGAGGAGTGGAGTTGGGCAAGTGCTGCCCAGCCTGGGTGGGACAGAGCCACGGCTCGTCCGGGGAGTGCATGGTTGGGGTGGATCCTGCCACTGCACCGCTCGTTCGGGATCTGCACGGGATGGGCCAGGAAGAGGTCTGCACAGCCTTGGTCCCAGCCTGGCATCGGAAATTGGATCAGTACAAGCCGATATGCCTCCTTAAAAATCAGCATCAATATTGGCCCCCAAAATCTCTATCAGTGCACCCCTAGCATTTTCCTGGTTCTTTACAACGGAGGTACTAGATTTAATGTGCATTAACTAAAGTGTGTTGATGCGCCATTAAAACATCAGGACGCTGGGCCAGGTGGCTTGGTTACTGCTGTCAGTGTCAGAAATCCCTTGCTTGGCCCTCTTATGCTTTGCTCTTCTGTCACTGCTGAGAGCCAGTCCCCTCTGTAACTTTTGTATTTTGCCTTTTCAAACTTGAGGACATTTCTGGTGGATACTGGCTTTTCCTTGGGTGGTATTGAGTCTTCAGCTAATTGTAGGTGTTCACTTGCTGCCTAATCCAGTGTCAGAAGGAAAAAGCTGTGAATTCAAGTTAGCACAGTGACTATGCCTGTGTCTTTAAATGTGGGTGCAAAATGAGCTGTTGATCTAAACCGAGTCTGAACCAAATTTTCACGCTTGAGCACCTAGTTAGGCAGTCAAATAAGTGAGGCCTGGTTGCAAAGTTGACAACCACTTCCCTTGATTGTGGTAGGTATTTTGGGTGCTAAGCGCCACCCCTGACTAGGGCATTTATATTTGAATGTTTCACTGAGGATGGGTCCCTAATTGCAGGCACCTCATTTTTGAAGTTTGGTCTGTGATCTGCTGGAGGTTACACTCTCTGTCAATGAAGAGCTGGTATTAGGTAGTTTCTGATTTCCAGTCTTATAGTCCGAATGCTTTATGTGATGGGCTATCTGGTAATGATTTGGCCCAGGGGTTTTGAAAGGGCTTGGGATTCCCTTTCCTCATTAATCAGGCCCCAGAGACTCACCATCAATGTCCCCTGATTGGCCCCTTGGGTCACCTGGAGGGGGATAAAAGGGGCAGCTCAGCTGACTGGGGAGAGACCAGTGAGGGACTATGAGAAAGGATTTTCAAAGAGCTGGCCCAGTGGGGCAGAAGCAGTTGCCCCAGACAAACCTTAAGGAGTGGGACCTGCAGGCAGCAGTTGGACCCTCAGCATCGTGGCGTACAGCCGGCAGGAGAGGCTCCCCACTGGGCTCCAGGATCCCCTTATGAGAGGCTACAGCTAGCAGGAGAGGTTCCCCAGCTCCAGCAAGAAACTGAGCAGTGACCTGCTGGACCTGCAGCAACCTGCTTGTAGCTCCTCCAGCAAGAGGCCAGGAAGCTTGACATGAGGCAAGGGCTCCTGGAAGGTCAAAACCCCTAGCAGCTTGGAGCAGTACCACCACTGGTGGCTGTGTGGGAGAGTTTCTGTCTACCATGTGGGTGATCTGAGTTTAAGTCCCAGCTGGGTCAGGTAGGGGTGAACAAAGTGACTGAGCAATTCTTGTTGCAGTGGAAGGAGTTCATTGCGTTTTCCCTCACCTCCAGGTATCTAGGCCCTATACTTCTTGTTGTTTGACATTTTGTATTTTGTACATTTTATATTTCACCAACCAGTATTGTTTGTTCTGCTCTTTGTGTTTTATATCTTGTCAAACCTGTCTTTTGTCAACTGGATGAATATGTCTACGAGTGTAAGTGCCTACCCTTTATTGAATCCTGCCCCCTTGGGGTGTCATAGTGTCCCCTATACCCCCTGGTTTATACATGTTATGTTCCCACTACTGTTTTTTCTCATTAAAAGGTATATGGTTAAGTCCCCATTGGTGATCTGGTTCTGCTCTATAGGGGAAGGAGGGTCCCTACACCTCCCACAGCGCTTGTGCACCTGCTCTGATCCCTTTGATTGGAGAGGGTGTACATCTTGAAGTACCGCCCAGGTTACACTTGCTTTATGCGTATTCACAAAACAAGTCATGTCATGAAAGAAACATGACCCCTCAGAGGTGTCATGACCCAAAGGCATGATTTTGTGTGTGCTTCGGCACCAGAATTATCCCCGCCAAGTTGCAGCTTCATTGCACGGGAGAGTTTCCTGTTACAGAGGAAAACCCCGGTGCAGGGACGAGTTTCCTGCCTTTCTGCAGCTTCTTTTGCAGAGTGCATTGCTCAAGTTGCAAGAGGAATGCATGGTGCAAAAGAGTTCCCGCCACCGCATGCAAATTGGTTCCCCGCTATTGGCTAGTTTTAAATTATTCCCAAGTGGCGGCTAACGATTGGCCTGTTAGCCATATAAGAGGCTTGAGCAGTTTCCGCCCAAGCCGAAGAGGACTCCACATCCATCTCGTGGGGACTATGGATACACGGCAGGGTAATAGAGACCCTGTGTGAGATTCAGAGGAGCTTGGCAACCTGATCCATCGCCCACCTCTTCCCGTCTTCGAGCGCAAATTTTATAAGATGTATCTCCGATTCCGATTTTGGTGGTGCGTTCACCCAGAGCATCCGGAGCTCTGTTCCATGGAGCCTAGCAAACTCCACGCGACCGTCCGTGTTGTCTGTGTCTGTAACCGCAACTCAAGCAAGTTTTCCAGCCTACACCACTGCCATCTCGGTGTAAGTAAACAATCTTTAAAACTACCGCTAAGCGTTTGTGCCTAATTCCGGCTCGTCGCCCTCCCTCTCCGATCCAGCATGCCCGGGCTGCTGGCCACAGCCCGCGTGCAGCACGAAAAAGGGCTCGGGTCGCTCCCGGCCCGCTCGAGGGAAATGTATTCTCACAACTATGAGTGACAGTCACCATGTTTCTCTTGCTAGTTAAGATTTTTGTAGTATTGCCTGTAATTGAAGAGGATTGGATTATTCAAAGAAGCTATGCTACTGTTTGGCTAATACATAATCCGCTAGTAACTAGCCTGTTAAATACTGTTATTTATAACAATCCATGAGAGCTTTTATTAGAAATTATGCAATTGCTAAGCACAAAGAGCCACAGGAATGTCATAAATAACCCCTAATGTTTTAAATGAACATGATGGAGAGATGCATTCTGGAGAAGGTGTTAATTGATGTACTATAAGAAGAAAAGTAGCAAGTAGAACTCTCAGAAGTCTCTGATATTCTGTTATCAGCCCAGCCCAGCTTTCCAGTTATCCTCTTATCAGCTCTGGCAAGTTTTCTTCAGCAGTCCCATGCCTCATGTAAGGCCTGCTTTTCTGTGCTATGCAGGCCTGTTTCACAGAAAACCCTTCTTCAGGAAGCAGTTATATATGAAAAATAGCAGCCTTGGATGTGTTGGGGACATAGAAACAAACTGAGGCTACAACTCATTACTTTGAAGCTTCACTCCTTCATCCATTTTCCCATCTCTGCTGTACACTAGTGTGGATCTAAGGTATTGCTACGGCTTGCTGTGTTGCTGAGGAGTAAGATGTTCTTGTCTGTTTCAGAACTAGATTCATTTCCTTTAAAGTGGCGCCTCTCCCCCTTTATCTATTTTCTTTACTATGTAGAAATATTTGGGCTTTGCATCCTTTTTTATCCCTCAGCCTTTCTAGTCTCAAGGCACCCCTCTGTAAGTTTTTTAATGTAGTGGTACCCCAGTTCAAAAAATAATTTAACTACTATTGAGCATGGAAAAATAACAGAGCAATTCTTTTGTTGCAAAAAAACCTCGGACTGTAACAGGTCAGAATGCTTTTGATACTGTGGATTCCTATTTGAAATCTCTGGGTTTATTTCTTGAATCGTATGTAGGTCTTTGCAGACCTAAGTGCTAATATGTTGTGGTACCTCTTGGCACCTTTAAAAGGATTTTGTGGTACCCTAGTTGAAAATCACTGATTTGTAGTTTGTGGATTAACTCCCCTTGCTCTTATTTATATGGAGAATAAAGGGTTATTTAATTTGGTTAAGAATGGCACAAGAGGAATGAGAAGTCATTTAGAACTTGTTTAATGTCAGTCACACATGTAGGATTCACTGCTGCTATAACACAAACTTAAGTCTAGTCATGGATTTTACTGAAATGGCTACCAGGAAACTACTTCTTTTATCTAATAGGCAGGTTGTATGTTTTATTAGTGCCTATCCAGATAAAAATGTGGTTATGAACATTTTGAGTAAATAGTTTTATGAATGGCCAGAGTATCTGCAGACAAGGTTCCTTGGGTGAATTTGATATCTTTTATTAGACCAACCCAAATGGTTGGAGAATAGTTATTAAGCAAGCTTTCGGGTTCAAAAACCCTTCATCAGGCTAAGGAAGCTGCAGCAGTTGGTGTGTGCTCTTCCTGGATGGAATGAAAAGTATCTGCAGTATTCTTGTGTAACAACCCTAAATATTGTTTTATAAAATGTTGTTTTTTTTTTTTTTAAATATTTTTATTTAAAGAGCATGGATTCACACAATTCAACCAAAGAAGCTGATAAAGTGGAGACTGATTCTCTTGTCTATGTTGGTAGAGAAGAAGACATAAAAAGATCCCAAAGGGTAATAGCCAGCATGAATGGTAGAGAAGTTGTTGTTTTCTACTATGAAAAGAAATTTTATGCCCTGGACTCTCGCTGTTATCGTAAGTTTGTTTTGGTTTTTTTGTTTTATTATAAGTAACAATTTTAAATTAATCTAAAGTAGGTCATGATTCTAACTCCATATTCTACTACATTTTAGATGCAGGAGGTCCTTTACAACTCGCTGATATAGAGGTATGTAAACATTCTAAAAGTAACACACACACAGAGTCATTTAAAGTCTCTTCACGCACTTTTTAATCCCTATTTTTAAACTACTCTCTCACTTTGCACTAAATTATGTTCTCAGTAACACTAGAGTAATTCCACTGAAAACAGTGGGTTTACTTAGGATTTATACTAGTGTAAGTAGAGCAAAATTTGTCATCTTCTCTCTTCAAAGGATCATTCTTTTCTAGTCCTTAACTTCTCAAAGTCCAGAGTGTTCTCAATTCCTTGTGGTGTGAGAGAGAACCCAGGCCAGGTAGTCTTTAGACTAACACTATACTAAGTGCCTAATCATGTGTGCCTAATTCTTATTTGACACTGTTGAACAGTTATGAAATCCTTTGCTCTGTGAACACCAGAGAAACATGTTCTCTGTTAAAAGACACTTTGGAACAGCATTACTCCATTTAGGATTAAAAAAACCCCAAAACCTTCTTAAGTATATTCTCTTTTTGAGATAGAAACGACCATTAGCTGGGGTCAGAATCCTGCTTTTTTTCCCCTCTCTTGCTCTACCCAACAATGGTAGAGTACTGCCAGGTAAATGCATATAAAAGATTTAGAAGAAGGCCTAACATTGGGCAGTGGTAGAAAGAACCTCCCACATTATCTGATCCAGTGGTCCAGTCCGGGATAGCAGTAACTATGCTATTGAAAATAGAACTTGATGCTTCTACCTTGACAGCACAGGATGTTACAACTAGGCCACAAGACCATTTTCTGGCTTAGAGACATTTCACAGAGAAGAGTCAGATTCCAGTGAGTTATCGCGTTCTGTTTTTTTTAGGATATCAATGGACAGCCATGTATTATTTGTCCCTGGCATAAATATAAAATTACCTTGGCAACAGGAGAAGGATTGTATCAAGCAATTGACCCTACGGAGCCATCAGCCACACCAAAATGGAAATCCAAAGGAGTAAAGCAAAGAATTCATAGGGTTATTGTAGACAATGGAAATGTTTATGTGACTCCTCCTGACTTATCTGTCAGTTTTGACTCTGATTTCTATGCAGACAAATTAAAAAAGACTGGAGGGTCCATTGAGAAAAAATAATAGAACACCCAACATCAACATTTATGGCCAAAACGCAAACACTAACGAATACTCAGTGAAGGCATCACAATTACAAGATGAAGAAAAATTGTATGCAGTTATGTAAACTATTTTTAGATGTTGATATAAAATGAAATGTCACTGTTAATTTTATTGCTCTGAAAACATTCAGGAACATAGAAATGTGTAACATCATAAGGATATATCTGTGAGTCTCTAATATGTAAATCACCATTATGACAGTTTATTTTTGTTCTTGCCTTGCACAAAATATAAATGTAGTGTGTGTGTATATATTAGATCTGTCTGTAATGTGGGAAGTGTTAGAAACTAAGTTTCTGGAGTTAAATCTTTTAATCCTTCAGTAGGAAAAATATTTTAGGATATTATTCTTTATATTATAATTATTCATAAAGCAAGCTGACAAAGTTAAGTTAAATATCTATTTAAGGATAAAACTTGTTCTTATATATCAAATAATTTAGACCAGGAGCAGGCAGTTATTTGGGCCCATAGGCAGTTCAAGGGAACTCACAAGCTAGTCAGCAGCCCATGCCACTCCCGCCGTCAAAACCCCAACAGCCTGCAGCCAACACACCCTGTGGCTCCTCTGCACCTGTGCCCAGCAGCACCTGAGTACACAGCCCCAACCCTGGCCCACCCCATGCCCACTCCAGACTCACCCTGGCAGTGGTGGCAGTGGAGAGGAGCTGTAGGGCAGACCAGGCACAGGTTCCAGGCAGCTGCAGCAAGAAAGGCCCAGCAGTGGCGAGAGGGAGGCAGCTGCTTTTGCCCCAGACCTAACAGCAGCTTCTGTCCAGCTGCTGCTGCTGCTGCTCAGCATGGGTAGGTGGTCCGGTGCAGGTCGAAGTTGGGGCTGTGCGCACAGGTCCCTGCCAGTACCACAGGGGTGGGGCTGGCCGCGGTGGCAACTGCCACCACCGGGCTCTGCAGCTGGACTTTATTTGTAGCAGCCAACCTAGCCTTGCTGTGCACCCAAGGGTGGCAGCAGGACACACCATGGTCCAGATGGCACCTTGGCCAGGTGGAACTGAGGGGTCTGCTGTGGGCTGGACAAAGTCCCTCTGCAGTCTACTTCCAGCCTGCAGGCTGTATTTTGGCCACCCCTGGTTCAGACCTTCCATATAATCCTGAGTTTTAAATTTGATTGACTTTTCCAGGTCAGAGGAAAATCTGCATACTTTAAAAAAACAATCTTAACATGGGGTCAGATTTTCCTAAAGCCCAAGGTGTCACAGAAAACAAAGGAAAAGATCAACCTTCCCCTTTTTAAAGGGGAAGAGGAAAGCTCTTCTTTGGGACTTCCCCAAGAAGCAGCTTTATTCAGTCTCCGTCCCCTGAGAAGGCCCCCTGCAGTCAGCACTAGTGTGGCTTCACAAGGGGCAAGCCTCTGACTTTGGGACTCTGGCTCTTCTCAGTCCCCGGCTTCCCCAGTGATCCTCCACCTCTGGGAGCTCCTTTTCAGGCAGCTCCTGGGAAGGTGGGAGGGTATTTTCTAATTTAAAAGTAGAAGGTTATCAGGATGCTGATGTCCTAAGCAGCACAGTAGACGCTGCTTCAAAACAGTCTTCATTGTGCCATTCCAGTTCCCTGTCTTCACTTGGACTTTTCTCTGTCCGCTCTGGGACCTTTTCTCCAGCTCTCTCTGAGCTTCCCTCTTTATCCTCTGGCTCAGTTAGCCACACATGCAACAAAACAGTTACAAAACTATAGTCATACCCTGGGGACAACAGTCATCCAATACAATGAAACATTAAGTCATGGGGAACCAATTAGGGGCAGTCTCTGTGCCCTGCTGTCTTAGATTATGATCTGCCCTTGGGGTGAAAAGAGCATATAGAGCAGCAGTTCTCAACCAGGGGTGTGCAGCCCTCTGGCCCAGTCCAGTGCGGCGAGGAGCCACCTTGGTCCCCACCTGCGAGGCATGGGCATGGTTAAGGGGCAGGAGGAGCCATGCAATTGGCCCTTAAGGCAATGACCACAGACACCTGTGGTCATGAGAGAGATCAGGCTTAGGAAGCCCCAGGGTAGCCTCCTTTTTTTTCTAAAAGATAATATCAAGGTGGGGAGGGTGAGTGAAGAGGAGGGTGTTCAAAGAAAAACAGACTAGACAAGGGCTGAGTGGCCACCAGGGGGCACCATGGCCTCCCCTGGAACAGCACTTGTTACAAGGACCTACTTAGGGAACAGTTTGCAAGCGTTATTTACAGTAAAGCCTGCCCCCACTGAGCCCCACAAAGTGCTCTCCAGTGGGACTGCAGGCTAGAAGCCAGCTCACCTAGCTTCCTTCATCACACAAAGCACTTCTACATTTTAACGTGCATTTTCATGCCTATTTCTGCATGTGTGATTACCCGTTTTTCTTGGTACAAGTACTCATCTCTCTTATAGTGTCTGAACTCCTTCTGGTAGTGCATTAACCAGCGTGACTAGCAGCTATTGCGTGTGTTGTTTTTGCTTATGCTGTCCCCAAAATGGAAAATTTGTCATGCAACATAGTACTTTTTCAGGTTGGCATTTTTTTTTTGCCAAGTATACACACTGCTGTGTTTATTTTGAAGAAGTGTGCCTTGTACTTGGAGCAGAAGTTTCTAATGGTCTTTTGTTCCTATGGGAATTCATTATAGTCTCAGATCTGCCCACACAGAAAGCTTGGCGTCCTTGACAGAAGCTTTGCTTTCATATTAAAAAGTTTCATTGTCCCTAAGGAGCAGAACTGTCATTCAGGATGGGATGGAGTCTTCTGACAAATTGGAGATTATTAAAAGCATTACTCAGGATTGCTGCAATGTGAAAGCTTAGTGCTAGTGAGAAATCAAGGAACACTTTTAAATTACTGAATTGACTAATTGTGGTTGTGAGTCTTTGATCAAAGGAGACCATGCCTGGGCTCCAACTTTTTCATAGAAGTTAGGGAGACAAACAAAAGGAAGTACCGTCTTACTTGGGTTCCGTTTCAACCTACTGCTCCTCAACCATAAGTTTTTCTCATTTGAGCACCAGACTTTCTTGATACTCTTGCAAGCACTGCTTTGGGTATCTTACATATACACTTATGTGTGTATACAGAAGATACATATGCATTATGAAGGTAGGCACACACATGCTTGTGAAGTTTGGACCTCACTTTATTCAAAACTGGCCTTTAAAGTTGTATGGAAATATTAAAAAATATAGCATACATAATGGTATTGCTGCTACTCTAGAATTTTGCAGAATAGAATGTAGAAGAGCATATTTTGTCAGCTCTGAAGCCAAGCAGGTTTTTCTGTTCATGTTTCTGACATAACTGAATATGATAATTTTTAAATTACATAGCATTTTGGAAAATTTAAATATTGTGGTACAATGAAGGCAGGACAATCTGGATGAGAAGAATGGTTCAGTCACAGTAAATGTAACAAAGTACACATTAATCAGTTTACTCATAATCTACTAGTAGACTTAAGTATTAGACACTGACCAGTAGTATTTACTTTGATATATTAAACACCAGAATAAAAAGCCGTGCCTTTCACGCAAGATCAGGGATATTAACATACTAGCTTTCTGTGCCAGTGAAAAACTTGCTGTAGACTACAGTACCAAAAACATTCATAATAGGCCTCTCATAATATAACTATGCTGAATGACATGATTCCAAAGAAAGATGTTCATTTTTTTCACTAGATGGGAATAGTGAAGATACTAATCCACTTGTATCAACTGATACTTTTATTAACAGTAAATGTTAAGTGTGAGTATGTTATTTCCTTTGAGTCTTAAGGTATATTTAGCATACCAGCAAATAGCTCGCCATACGACTTAATTTTCATGTAGAACTACAGTGGATTTTTCCTGGTCCAGTGCAGAATGTAGGATGTGAATACTGCTGCTTATTGAATTTTCAACAGGAAATTCAGAAACGACGTGTTTCACTGGAGAGGGTACTGTACATCTTGCTGCATCTTCGTATTTCAGGGATAAATCTTTTTTATCAACACTGTCCTTTGTGTTTTCTCTGGAGGACTTTCCTTGAATAATCTCTTTTATTTTACTTAGTACTGTGTTAATAAAGAGTGCCTATTTAAAAGAATAAAGATATATTTTAGTTTGAGAAACCCAGGAATTTGGACTATATATTGTTGTGTGTATACACTTAAAATGACCATCAGCCATATTAAGTACACTTTAATTTGAGGCTTTATAACACATACTGATACATTAACAACAAAGGGCTTGATCCTGGAAGATACTGAGCACTCCAGTCACAATATAGCCAAGAACTTAAGCATGTGCTTAGTATTAAGCATGCATGTATTCCAAATGAAATCAGTGGTACTGCATAGATGCTTACCATTATATACATAGACAGACACGGTTCTTTGGGTAAATGTGATATCTATTAGACTAACTAAATAGTTGGAAAAATTGTTCTTTGCAAGCTTTCAGGCACAACCACCCTTCTTCAGGCATATGGAGAGTCTGATGGTGTTTTGTGTGCTCTCCTGGGTGGAATGGAGCCAATGTGCAAAACGTAGGTGGCAGGGACAAGAAATGTAAAACCTGCAAACATTTCTCCACCACTCCCACAATAACTACATCCCACAACAGAATCATCACCATTTCTGGATCTTACATCTGTACCTCCAGAAATATCTCATCCAGTGCACTAAATGCTCTGATGGAATATATGTAAGAGAAACCAAACAACGACTATGTACCAGAATGAATGCATGCCGAAAATCTATCAAAGACAAAAATACCCAATTACCTGTGGGTGCACACTTCTCACAAGACAACCACTCTCTCTCCAATCTCTTAGTTCTAATCCTCAAAAGGAATCTATAAAACACCTTTTGTAGATAAACCTATGAACTTCACTTCATAAGTCTACTGGATACAAAAAAAAATCATGGACTAAATATAGACATTGGATTTATGGCACATTATAACCTGCGTGCCATCTGATAACCCCAAGTAACCTGTCTGCATTTTACCAGCTATATTCAATTACCAGGTCAACATCCTCCCCTCACACCTGTCTCACAAGTATTGTCTCCCATTCCCTCTGATCTTCACAGCCATGCATTTGCATTTTCACAAACCTGCATTTTGCATGTTGGCTTCCATTCCACCCAGGAGAGCATACAAAACACCAGCAGGCTCTCCCTATGCCTGAAGAAAGGTGTTTGTGCCTGAAAGCTTGCAAAGAACAAATTTTCCAATGAATTAGTTGGTCTAATAAAAGATACCACATTTACCCAAAGAACCTTGTCTGCCTATGTCCTTAGATCATCATGGCTACAACCGTATTCCATTATGTACAGACTCAAGTGCTTTGATGGATCAGGGCCAGCAAGCTTACTTCGTTGGATCAAGCATTTGATAGAGGTTCCATCACCACAGTACTTAAGCTATCTCTGCTTGTAGTTTAAAATGACTTGCTCCTAGGGTAAGTGCCATTATGTCTTACAAACACATTGATACAGTTATTCCTGTAAAACAGTTTTCCCTATAGGATGTAAATGCTTACAATCTATTCAGCTATTTTAGAGTTTTTCCATTGTCTTAAAAAGCAGCAAAACTTGCTTCTTAAGAAATCAAACTTCTATGGTGCTTTAGGTTTTACATTTAACCCCCTCTTTAATATACCTCACTGAAGGATAGCGTTCATTTGAATTTTGGTGTTTAATGTATTTTTGACATTTGCACTGGAAAGACAGAATCATTAACTGAGACTACCGACCGAGACTTTACAGCAAAGTCAGGAATACGGTAGCTATACACATTTTTAGATTCTTGCATGAATAATTTACATCCCTCACTCTGACTTTTCTTTGCCTCCCATTTTTTCCATGAAGATTTTTGTAATTTAATAATATGCCAACCTATTACAGTTCTCAACAAGCAGTATTTTTCTTTTTCTACGTCTTATATTTTTTTGAAACACAGTTACCATATTTACTTGAATCCAAAGACGAGTTTGTTTGTTTTGTTTATATTCCCCCAATCAGCATAATGGGGACAGGGGAGGGGGAAGTCCTATCTTAGATTTGAGTTACCAGCCCCAGGGTAGGCAGTGGTTCAGGTCTGGCTTCAGCCCCTGGGTTCAGAGTCAAAGCTGGAGCTGAGTCCCCACCTGCCCTTGGCCGGGGTGGCTTGTGCAGTGTGGGAAGGGGTGCATGGCAGGAGGAGTGCATGAGACAGACCACATAATGGGGATGTTAGGGGGAGTGCATCGGGGAGATCTCACAGGCTACCTTTCTCTGGCCATTTGTCCCATTCCCCCCTACCCCGCCTCCCGCTTACATTCAGCTCTGCCTCCAGATCCCGCCCTGGACAGGCACAGAAGGGAAGGCATGGGCTTGTGGGGGGCAATAGGTTGGGGAGGAAGGTAGGGAAGGCAAGAGGTGGTGGTCTGGCCCCTTGCTCCCCCCCCCGCCCCAACTGTTGTGGGAAGACAAATTTAAGATGGCTCTCCAATAATCAGATTTTATACATGGAAAATGATAACTAATTTATAATTTTCCATGTACTGAATCTAATGATTGGAGGCTCATCTTAAATTCAAAACCATCTTGGATCTAGGTAGATACAGTATATTCCTGTCAAATAACTGTGTACAGTGCTCCTCAATATCTTCATTAATGATCTGGATTCAGGCGTCAGATGCAGACTGGCAAAGTTCACGGATGACACTAAACTATGGGGGAAGGCAGTCATGCTGGAGGACAGGCTGGGGATACAGGCTGACCTGGACACACTTGCAGGGCAGGTGTACCAAAACCTGATGGCATTCAACATAGAGAAATGCAGGGTACTTCACCTTGGGAGAAAAAAACCAGCATTGTACTTACAGGCTCGGCCATGCTACGCTTGCTGGCACCACTACCGAAAGAGACTTGGGGGTCTTGATTGACCACAAGATAAACGTGAGCCCCTAATGCGATGCTGTGGCCGGCAAAGCAAACCAAACTCTGGCATGCATCCACCAATGCATCTCAAGAAAAACCAGGGATATCATCCTCCCGCTTTACTTGGCCTCAGTGAGGCCACAGCTGGAATACTGTGTCCAGTTTTGGATCCCCCCACTTCAGGAGGGATGTGGGTAAGCTCGAGAGAGTCCAGAGGAGAGCCACCCATATGATCAAAGGCCAAGGGAGCAAGCCTTATGAAGAGAGGCTGAGGGACATGGAACTCTTCAGCCTGGCGAAGAGAAGGCTCAGGGGGGACTCGGCGGCTGCCTATAAGTATATAAGGGGCGTGCGTCAGGATCTGGGAGAGCACTTGTTCGCCAGAGTTCCCCAAGGGATAACTAGGTCTAACAGCCACAAACTTCTAGAAGGTCAATTCAGACTCAATATAAGGAAAAACTTCTTTACAGTCCGAGTGTCCAAAGTCTGGAACAGACTCCCCCCAGAGGTGGTGCAAGCACCTACTCTGGACTCATTCAAAAGGCATTTGGATGTTTATCTTGCTGGGATCATTTGATCCCTGCAGACTTCCTGCCTCTGGCAGCGGGGATGGACTCATAGATGTAGGGTCGGAAGGGACCTTGTAGATCTTCTAGTCCGAACCCCCTGCCTGGGCAGGAGAAAAAATCCTGGATGCAGAGTCCCAAGCACACACCCAGGCTTAAGCTTGCAACTCTGTGGCCCCAGAGTCAGGACACTGCCCCCTGATCAGGCGAGTGGCCCTCCTTTGGATCATCTCAATGCTGTCCACATTCCTCCTGAAGTGCGGCACCCAGAACTGGACGCAGTACTCCAACTGCAGCCTGACCAATGTCGCATAGAGGGGGAGGATCACCTCCTTGGAACTGCTCGTGATGCATCTGTGGATGCATGACAAGGTGCGATTAGCCTTACTGACCGCTTCCTCACATTGGCGGCCCATGATCATGTTGGAATCAATAATGACTCCAAGATCCTTTTCTGCCTCTGTGCTGATGAGAAGGGAATTCCCCAGCCTGTAGGTATGCTGCTGGTTCTTCCTCCCCAGGTGCAGTACCTTGCACTTGTCAGTATTGAATCCTATCCTATTCTGATCCACCCACCCCTGTAACCTGTCAAGATCTAGTTGTAGCCTGTCCCTCCCTTCTAGCGTGCCCACCTCTCCCCACATATTAGTGTCATCCGCGAATCTGAACAAGGTGCTTTTCACCCCCTTGTCCAAGTCGCTGATGAAGATCGCCCGTAGTTTAGCGTCATCCGTGAACTTTGCCAGACCACATTGGGATTGAGGTCTCATTGCGTAAGGCCCTAGAGATATGCAGGAAGAAAGCAGTGCCTTTGAAAATCTTCCACCTGTTTGTAACTATTTAAAGACACAAACAGGTCGCAGATGTATGGGAGGGTGGGGGGGAAGGGATGAAGAGGTGGCTGGTACCATTGCCCAGAGCTACTGATAAGACTCTGGTTTTAATTTTTGTAGATTTCCTAAAATTTTGCAGTTAAGGCTAACACCTTCCATGATAGGAAACTCAGAATCTAAATTTTTGGAAGGTTTCAGCCAAATTAGTTTGGCTGTTCTCTGACAAGGTGATAGGGAAACTTTTTTGCCATTTTTAGAAATTCTGATAAGCTTTTCTTTCAGTGGTGGTGCCACTGTGCTTTAGAACAGGACCTTGAAATCAGGTGCAGGGGGTGACCCTGCATGTCCTAGCCATGCCTTTTGTTCCTTTTCAAGATTAATTTGACAAAGAAGTCAGCTTCTAACAAACTGCACTTTGCACAGACTTCAGGTCTGCTAGAATGTGTCCGCCAAGTCTAACTGTTCTCCCACTGCTGAGCATACTTCTGCCCATTACAGCTCCTACAAGTGATTACACTGCATGTGTGCTATCTCCACAGAGAGATGTTCTAACCCAGGACTTTCCTTATCATTACAGCTCCTCATTACTACTGACTTTGGTAGGAAAAGACAATTAAATTGAAAGCGGGGAGGGAGACTGACTGTCTTATGCCTCCACTGTGCTTCCAGAAGTATAGAGAAGCTAGCCACCTGCCTTGAATTTAAGGAGAGGAAGGAAAGGCACAGATTGGGGGAAAGAGATGGATGGAAGGGTGGAGGGAAAAAGAGACATTGTTGGGACTTGTGAGACAAGAAGGTTCGGACTGGGACTTGCTGGATAAGGAAATGGGATCTAGGCTGACAAGACTAGGCTGGGATTATTTGGGCAAGAAGACTGGGCCTGCAAATGATAAAGCTGTAGAGGAAAGACTATGACTCACTAGATAAAGAGCTTGGACTAACTGGACAATAGGATAGGTGCTTGGGGACAGTGAGTGAGATTATGGATAGAAGATTCATAGATTCATAGATGTTAGGGTCGGAAGGGACCTCAATAGATCATCGAGTCCGACCC